TGGGGCTCTTGAGCTTGGAGCAGAGGTGCCTTCACACTCACCACAAAATCTGCCCAAGAACCTGTGTCTTACCAAGCCTGTCCTTTCTCTCTCCTCAGACAAGCACGGTGCCCCGTGATTGCAGGACCGACCCTGGAGACAACGCAGAAGATGAGTGCACCCCCTCAGAACAACAAGTCAAGCAGCACGGGAAGCAGCCTGGTTACAGACAGCCACAAAGAGATGGGTGGGAGTAGCTTCATCGCTGGAGTCTTCATCCAGGCCATGAAGAAGAAGATGAGCATCTACGATGCCATGAAGAGGGGCATCCTGACCCCGGGTACGGCCCTGGTGCTGCTGGAGGCGCAGGCTGCGTCGGGGCTCCTCACTGACCCCATGAGGAATGAAAAGCTGTCGGTGAAAGAGGCCCTGGCCGCGGGACTCATCGGCAGAGACTTCTACGAGAAGCTGCTGTCGGCAGAAGGAGCCGTGACGGGGTACACAGAGCCATACACGGGGCACAAGATCTCCCTCTTCCAGGCCATGAAGCAGGAGTTCATCGTCAAGGAGCACGCCATCCGCCTGCTGGAGGCCCAGGTGGCCACCGGCGGCATCATCGACCCCGTGCACAGCCACCGCATCCCCGTGGAGGCTGCCTCCAAGCGCGGCTCGTGGAGGCTGCCTACAAGCGCGGCTACTTCGACCAGGAGATGTGCCAGTTCCTTTCCAACCCCAAGAATCAAATGAAAAGCTGCTTCGACCCCAACACGCGTGAAAACCTCACCTACACGCAGCTCCTGCGCCGCTGCGTGCCCGACCCGGACACGGGGCTGCTGATGCTGCAGCTGATGGACAAGGGCTCCGTGCTCTACCAGCTGAGCAAGGACGCCCGTAGAGCCCTGCAGACTGCCCACACCACCGTGGGTGTGGGGCTCTTCCAGGGCCAGAGCGTCACCGTCTGGGAGCTCCTCTTCTCCCGCTACGTCCCCGACCAGCGGCGAGAGGAGCTGCTGAGGAAATACAAGGCTGGGACCGTCACCGTGGCGGAGATGATCGCCCTCCTCACCGCCATCGTCACTGGGGCTGAAATGGAAACTGGGGATCTGAGCTCGTCCACCGTTACAGCCACCAGTGAGGTGGAAGCATCACAACCAGTTCGGGATACGCGCTGCCAGGAGCAACAGTTGAGAAGGTCCTTGAAGTCTGTCACCATCTGCGTCGCTGCTGGGGAGCTCAAGGGGCAGAGAGTTTCCCTGCTGGATCTGCTCTTTTCCAAATACATCCCCCAAGGGAAGCGGCAGGAGCTGCTGGAGCTGTACCGAGCGGGGATCCTGACCACGGGGCAGGTGGCTGCCGTGGTCACCACCATCGTAAACAGAACGGAGGCTGCAAACGCTGCGCTGGTGGAAAATGCCCGAAGTCCACACAGGGCGCTGGCGAGGGAAAACGGAGAGGATTTATCAACAGCACAACTGGATTACACCCTGAAGTCTGCCACCGTTGGTGTGCCAGCGGGTGAGCTGCAGGGGAGGCACATCTCGGTGTGGGACCTGCTCTTCTCTGACTACATCCCCGAGGAGAAACAGCAGCAGCTCCTGCAGCTGTACCGTGAACGGGTGTTAACTCTGGAGCAGATGATAGCTGTTGTCACCAGGGTCATCAAGAAAAAGGAATCCACGGGCAGGAAATTCCTCATTACAGCCAAGACCTCTGGCAAGGACACTGTGTCAGTGGAGGGAGAGAAGGACGACAACTCCTCCAAAGAAGAACCAAGAGAAACAGCCTTGAAAACCACCACCGTCGACATGGAGGTGGGGGAATTTCAGGGCCACAAGGTGTCTGTGTGGGACCTGCTCCACTCCAGGTACATCCCCGAGGAGAACAGGAAGGAGCTGCTGGAGCTGTACCAGGCCGGAGAGTTAACCCTGGAGCAGGTGAAAACCGTGGTCAGCACCATCGTGACCAAGGCAGAGGCAGCAAGGGCAGAGCAAGAGGCAAATGTGAGTCCGAGAGCAGAGCCGAGAGCTGCAGGGGCTGAGCATGAGGACAGGACCTGGGAGGAGACCCTGAAGACCACGACAGTCGAGGTATCAGTGGATGGGTTGCAGCAGGAGCAGGTTTCAGTGTGGGACCTGCTCTTCTCTGACTACATCCCCGAGGAGAAACAGCAGCAGCTCCTGCAGCTGTACCGTGAACGGGTGTTAACTCTGGAGCAGATGATAGCTGTTGTCACCAGGGTCATCAAGAAAAAGGAATCCACGGGCAGGAAATTCCTCATTACAGCCAAGACCTCTGGCAAGGACACTGTGTCAGTGGATGGAGAGAAGGACGACAACTCCTCCAAAGAAGAACCAAGGGAAACAGCCTTGAAAACCACCACTGTCGACATGGAGGTGGGGGAATTTCAGGGCCACAAGGTGTCTGTGTGGGACCTGCTCCACTCCAAGTACATCCCCGAGGAGAACAGGAAGGAGCTGCTGGAGCTGTACCAGGCCGGAGAGTTAACCCTGGAGCAGGTGAAAACCGTGGTCAGCACCATCGTGACCAAGGCAGAGGCAGCAAGGGCAGAGCAAGAGGCAAATGTGAGTCCGAGAGCAGAGCCGAGAGCTGCAGGGGCTGAGCATGAGGACAGGACCTGGGAGGAGACCCTGAAGACCAC